GGGGGGGGGGGGGGGGGGGGGGGGGGGGGGCTCTTGAACATGTTTAGAGACTCTACTCCATTTTTCTCAGACGTGTTCTGCATAGAGTCTCACCTTTCGGTTATATAAGTTAAACCACAAAAAAAAGTGTGGGGCGGGGGGGGGGGGCGGCGGAACTGTCTAAAATGAATAATGATTCCTTGTGAAGACGGCGATACTTCAACACAATGTGAATTGTTATGTTACTGACTGTACTGCTACATGAATAGCTGGTTACGAGGCACAAGCTTGTAATCTAAATGTTCAATGTTAAGGAACTCGTGTATCACATAAATGAACCCAATCGTCTGCGATGCGTTGAACTGTCAGATGAACTGTCAGATGAACTATCGGATGAACTATCGGATGAACTATCAGATGAACTATCGGATGAACTATCAGATGAACTATCGGATGAACTATCGGATGAACCATCAGATGAACTATCGGATGAACTATCGGATGAACTATCAGATGAACTATCATATGAACTATCAGATGAACAATCTTTTGGAACTCAACCAAGTTTTGAGCAGGCTCCTAAGACGTACAGGGAGCCGAGTGGCTGATCGGATGACATTGGAGATTTTTTTGGGAGCGAATCGAAGACTATGGTGGAGTTTGTTTGTGCATCAAAAGCGGGCAGGCGTGAATAATGGATCGATGGAAAAACATAAAAATTTCCCTGGACGAGTTTATGTCCGAAAAGTATATGTGGTTTAAGGCATGGCGACTGGACGTTTGAAAACAGTTTTATTTTTTATTGAAAACGGGCCCGGGGGGGGGGGAGGGGGGCGTGCAATTATACTTCAATTATATTAAATGATTTGAGGATCTATATCATCATGCTTCGGCATTGACATATCATTGAGGGCACTGACATCATCTAGGGCACATCAAGATCATTCAGGGCACTGCCATACCATTTAGGGCATTGACACATCATTTAGGGCATTTGAATAATCCAAAATCCAAAGAAAAAAAAAATTAATTAAAACAAAACAAAAATAAGCAGTTTTACTGTGACCGTTTTTTTTTATTTTGTGGTGCGGCAGGTCACATGATTTTTAGAATATTTGTCCACTTTAAAAAAAACTAGAGCATTCAAGAGATATTATAAGACAGAATAGGGGTGGTAGGACTATGCATAAATAAATGTGAAATAGACCGATTCGTGTAAGGAATGTAACAATCATCTCAAATAGTTCTTAAAACTTGCATTAAGCTCTCACCGTGAAAAGACACTGTACAATTTAAAAATAGATACAATTTAAACCAATGATAAAAGAATATTGCAGACTAAAACAATGCAAAAATTACAGTAAAAGTTGCAGTAGATTACAGTAAATTTTGCAAAATATTACAGTAAACGTTGTAAAAGATTACAGTAAAACTGGCAAAAGATTACAGTAAAAGAGAAATGTCACCACTGGTTTCGGTACAGTTGGGCTGAATAACCTAGTTCCTTACGTAAACAACATGGGTGCAATTTCATTTTCATTATTTACAAACTAGAGAAGGTCTTATTGAAAAGCAATTTTTTAGAGAGGAAAAAAAAAAACAACAACCTCGAATAGATATCTAGGTACATGAAAACTAAAACTTTGAAGGAAACTTGTAAAAAATAAATCAGCCGGCCAATCACAGTAAGTAACGGTGCTCGTACATACAGATACACAAATAGTTTGTTAGCTTGTTCAAACATGTCCTTAGGAACACACATACTATTGCTTGGCATACAAAATTAATATAATCTCATCAATGGTCACACAAAGATGGAGATAGCTGAACTGAAATGTACATTGGTTGAGAGGGGGGGGGGGGCATTCTTTGAGCCAAAATATCATACAACAGAAAATGAGCAAACATTAAAAATTGATTTTAAAAAAATTTTGTTTTATAACACAGGTACGATAAGCAGTGCTGTCATTAAAAAATGTTATCTTTCATGACCTTACTTTGTGAACTAATCCAGTGAATAAGATACCAGTGATATCACAAAATCCATTTAAATTTAAAAAACACAACACACCAGTGGGAGTTACTATTAATAACAATTGTTGGCCATGGGCAAAAATGTCCTGTGGTGATGCATCCCAAAAAATATATTTTTGTGTGGTTTATACTTATTAAAAACAAAATTAAATACTGTTAAGTTTTTTTTTGCACACATTAAAAAAACTGGTAAACAGATTAGACCATAGAGTCCACAACACGTTTGACTGAATTTAAAACTATAAAATGATTTTTACTGAATTTAAAACTATACATTTTTTTTACTGAATTCAAAACTATAAAATAATTTTTACTGAATTCAATATTATAAAATTATTTGGCTGAATTCAAAACTATAAAATTATTTGACTGAATTCAACACTATAACACTATTTTGAACACCAAGGTGAGTTTACCCTGAATCAAAATCTTTTAAATTAAAAAAAAAAGTTCTTAGACACCAGCAAATAGTTTCAAAGTTATTAAAAAAATTGGAACACTTCTCTCACCTTGCCGCTTATGAACACAGTTTAATGTTCATTAAACAAATTTGGCAACCAAAGACTAGTGGCTGTGGTCACTTGCCTTCATTTATCAGAATACTATTCATTCTGAAGACGAGTTACTTTCACTTCTTCCCCATTTCTAGTAATGCACTACATCACTGTGTTCTCCTCTCCACATTTTCTCTGGGCCAGCCATTGTTAGTGCATGAGACATACATTCATATTCTTGGGCACGGAAAATTTGCCAGTTAGCATCTTAAAAATTTACTAGTCAATTGTAAGGATATATTTTATTTACGTAATAAGGATATTCTTTGTACAGACTGGCATCAATTATACTTTCAGTACAATGGTAGTAACACTTAAGGTAGAAAAAATACAATACAGAGGTAAAAAAAAATTTGTTTTAGATAAACACCAATTCATATTGTCAACAACTGACATAGAAAATCATCAATATTTATAAAAGACCAATTCAGATTGACATCAATTCTTACACTCATCAATTCTTACAAAAGACCAATTCTTACAAAAGACCAATTCTGCTATGCATAGAGCCAGCTGATGCCATTTGCTGAAACAAAAAAAATAAATAAAATAAACAACAGTTGAGTTTTGTGTCTTGCCATTAATTTGACCTAATAGAAAATGAAGCAACACCAAGAGGGCCAGCACCTGGCATTTTGTCAGAAAACTTCTTCTGTCGGGAACAACTTACATCCTCAGAACCAGCACCCTAATATGGGTCTGAGGCTATACAGTAGCAACCAGCACCCTAATATGGGTCTGAGGCTATACAGTAGCAACCAGCACCCTAATATGGGTCTGAGGCTATACAGTAGCAACCAGCACCCTAATATGGGTCTGAGGCTATACAGTAGCAACCAGCACCCTAATATGGGTCTGAGGCTATACAGTAGCAACAGCGCAAAACACCCTCCCACTTTTTTTCTTAAGTGCTAGAACATTATGTTTAATTCTTTCCTTCATTAAGGCTTTTTTGTACCAGCTATGGTCATGTCAGTTCAATGAGCTTCTTTGAATTTTCCAGGGCAGCGTGGTGCATGCCAGACAGCAATTCGTTGTCATGTGCGTGTAGTCTGTGCTCTCAAGCAGAAGCCAGCATCCATCGTATTTTGTTTTTTGTACTCTACCCTTGAAAGGTTTGATGTGTTATCCAATCAATGATTAGTGAGAAGAGAATCTAAGAGTAAGAGAGACAGCCCTCCGTGATTCCATCCTTGGTTTTGAAAGGCGAGATGACATGTACTTCTGTGTTCTGTCCAGATTCAGCGAGATGACATGCACTTCTGTGTTCTGTCCAGATCCAGCGAGATAACATGTACTTATGTGTTCTGTCCAGATTCAGTGAGATGACATGTACTTCTGTGTTGCAGTGGTATGTAAACAGGCAGAGACATACAATCCACACTACGGTTTCCGCCCTTAATCTCATCATACAGTCACCACACCTACAAGCTGTTACTGCACTATATAATATCAACAATGCCTTTACCTTATAGAAGGGACCAGCATCAGTTTGAATTGCAAACATATGGTTTGCAAACATATGGTTTGCTGCTACCTGATAGAAGGGTCCAGAATCAGTTCAAATTGCACATGCTACCTTATGGAAGGGACCAGAATCAGTTCAAATTGCAAACATTTAGTTTAATTTCACAGTTAAAGACGGCACAATACTAAAACAAATGCATTAATTCATGCACATAGATAACAAAAAAAATGGTGTAAGTTTGTACAGTAATTATGAAAACATTTCTCAACCTTAAGGCACCTCTCTACACACTGCAGTGTTTTAACAATTTAATGAGTTAGTAAATATAAATGAATTAATACAAATTAATATGAATCAATGGATTCGTTTGCTAGTCGTTTGGGAACTCTTGCATAATAGGTGTAACTTGAGCTGAATATCACCTCATGTATTATGGCACATATAAGACTTGCAGGTGTTGAAAGTAAGACTGATCTCAAACATGAAATGGAGGGCATGGGATATCACACAATTATTAAATAAAAAAAGGGCAATAAAAGTATTCTGCTGCCCGTGTAAGTCAAAGATGCCCCATCCAATCATCTGCTACAACATATGATGTCTTCCTTCAACATTGAATAGGTGCTCCATAAAATCATCTGCTACAACATATGATGGCTTCTTTCAGCATTGAACAGGTGCTCCATCCAATCATCTGCTACAACGTATGATGGCTTCTTTCAGCATTTAACAGGTGCTCCATCCAATCATCTGCTACAACGTATGATGGCCTCTTTCAGCATTTAACAGGTGCTCCATAAAATCATCTGCTACAACATATGATGGCTTCTTTCAGCATTGAACAGGTGCTCCATCCAATCATCTGCTACAACGTATGATGGCTTCTTTCAGCATTTAACAGGTGCTCCATCCAATCGTCTGCTACAACGTATGATGGCTTCTTTCAGCATTTAACAGGTGCTCCATCCAATTGTCTGCTACAACGTATGATGGCTTCCTTCAGCAAGTAACAAGTAGGCTGACATCAAGGTATTAATGGAACGATCTAGCTCTTAAAACACTCTCAGAAAACACTCTCACTTTTGAAAAATGAAACAGTGATACTAGGGATAGATAGTATCATTATCAAGAAAATAATAAATGAACTGCTTGGGATATTTTTAGTGGCAAAAAAATAACAAAATAAATGATTTGAAGATACCAAGTCGTGCCCAGCTTAATATTTCTGAGAAGCATTCTCATAAACACCACTTCAGATACAAAAACTATTCTCATACAACATATACTGTTCAGCATTCCATCATTTTAAATAAAAACACACACATTCAAGTATAAACCGATTCTTATAAAGACCAGGTTTTTAAGATAAAACAACAATTTAGGTTTACATCAATTACAATTAATGACCAGGTCTGGTAAAACGGTGATTCAGCGTTACATCAAATTATAAAACAAAAAACACCATCTGAATACCACCATTTTCTCACACGTATACTTATAAGTCACTAATTCTCATCTGCTGCAATTCTGATAAACCCTCTACATCAGATAGGCAGCTATTCAGATTCATTGAGATGTCATGAAAATAAAATACTCCATACACAGGCCAAATTTAGCTAAAACACCAATGATCATGCACAACCATTCCGATATGTGAATTAAGATGTCAATCAATTTCGAATCCACACAATCTCAAAAAAAAAAAAAAAAAATTCAAAAACAAAAAAATAATCTTTGTTCCAATTTCTTAATTTTTTTCTTTTTTTAACACAGGCCAAATTTAGCTAAAACACCAAAGATAATGCAAAACCATTCCGATATGTGAATTAAGATGACAATCAATTTCGAATCAACACAATCTCAAAAAAAAAAAAAAAAGATTCAAACACAAAAAAATGATCTGTGTTCCAATTTCTCAAGTTTTTTCTTTTGTTGGCCTCTTTAACTGTACAGATCAATCTCTTTGCAACACACCTTCATGACTGGTAAGGGACAGCTCAAATTCCCTAATCAACAATTGATAAATCCTGCTGTCTAAGATTTGGTTTTGCTCCAGCTCCTTTAAAATTTCTTCAAAGCGTCTCACCACGGGGGGCTGCTGCGAGGTTTTCATTTTCCACTCGGCTAAGGTGTCCACAAAACTAGCTTCCCACTCCTTGAAATCCCTTCTCAAATAATCAAACCTATTCCGTAAAATTAACGTTAACTTAGGATCCAGTATTGTAATGAATTGTTCAGCCTCAGGAACACCCAAGTTCTCTACTATAAAGTAGCAGAGTTTGTGGAAACACTGGTCAGTTGATATTGGGGTTTGCACTTCGTCAGGTAGCAGAAGCTGCGCTCTTTGGCCTTCTATTGCATTACCATTGTTACAGTTATCATTACCATCGTTAAAATCATCATTACAATTGTTAAAATGATCAGTACCATCGTTACAGTCATCATTACCATTGTTACAATTATCAGTACCATCGTTACAGTCATCACTACCATTGTTACAATGATCAGTACCATCATTACAGTCATCATTACCATTGTTACAATGATCAGTACCATCATTACAGTCATCATTACCATTGTTACAATTATCAGTACCATTGTTACAGTCATCATTACCATTGTTACAATGATCAGTACCATCGTTACAGTCATCCTTACCATTGTTACAATGATCAGTACCATCATTACAGTCATCATTACCATTGTTATAATTATCAGTACCATCATTACAGTCATCATTACCATTGTTACAATTATCATTACCATCATCATTACCATTGTTACCATTATCCTCACCATTACCATGGTTACAATTATCATTACTGCCATTACAATTATCATTACCATTTCCATTGTTACAGTTATCGGTACCATTGTTACAACTATCATTACCATCATTACAATTATCCTCACCATTACCATTGTCACAGTTATCAGTACCATTGTTACAGTTATCAGTACCCTTATTACAGTTATTGACATTGTTACAACTGTCCTCACCATTACCCCTGTTACAGTTACCATTACCATTGTTACAACTATCATTACCATTGTTAAATTTATCAGTGATATTTTTTATGTATTCCAAAGTCCACGCCAGACACTTTGTCGAATCAATCGCTGGGTTATTTGCAAGCCAATCACATAATGTTATTGCGAGATACGCGACTGTATCATTGTTCTTAGTCCTATTAAACTGTAATCTATTCTGTGCTTTGAATTGGAGGCTAGGATCTGGTATGATTCTAATCAACTTCATTGCATCCTTAAATCCAATATCTTTGATCATTTTTTGAAATTCCAGTTCCTTTGCCAAATCTGTTGCTGGTAATGGAATAAGAGGAACTTTTTCTGAACCGCCTTCCACGGTCCCATAACCGTCTTCCACTGTCATATTTCCTTCACTTGATCTCAAGACTTTTTTACGGCATATACAATAAATGAATACACCTACCACCAGGCCAATTGGAATTATGAGAAGTATAGATAACATTTCTAATTTTGGTTCTTTGGTACTGGTTACTTCACTTGCCCTGGTGGTCGGTGACGTGACAACATGTGTCGACGTGACATTTTTTGTGGGAGCTTTCGTTGAGGATGTTGTGGTTGTAGTTGTCTGAGGAAAACACTCAGTCTCTTTTACAGAGAATGTTCTCTGGACATATCCCGGCATGCAGTCCCACTGAACATCCCTTGTTGCTGATCCATTGACCACAATGATCCAGTTCTCAGAGGCGTGCCTCACTGTCCACGGCTTGCATGCAATCTCTTTGTGCCTCAGCTGCTCCTGGTAAAACCTAGAGATTGCAGTAAAACTAAGAAGATGATGGTTGAAATATCCTAATGTTTTTCTTTTAAAGTTAACAAAATACTATGAATAGCCCAAAACATCAGAATCTTTTGTGTAATTTTTTATTTGTCACACGGCAACCTGCCTTCAGTGACTAATTTTCTGGCAACCTGCCTTCAGTGACTAATTTTCTGGCAACCTGCCTTCAGTGACTAATTTTCTGGCAACCTGCCTTCAGTGACTAATTTTCTGGCAACCTGCCTTCAGTGACTAATTTTCTAAGGTTTTAAATGTTGTCTCAAGACACACGTAGAGGTTTAGCTTCTCTTCATTTAACTGGAAAATTACAAATAAAGAAACACTTTGTCTTTAAGAAAATATGTACAGCTGAAGTTGGCCAGGGCAGACAGTATGGAGGGAAAGTGGGAATATTATTAAAAATTCCTAAATTCAGTCTTTTTTGTTTGGACCAGATGGGCTAATACTCTGCATTTCCAGGGAATCTGGGTCAGTATGGATCTCCAAGACTCTCTTTCATTACAGACTATTAAATTTAATTAAAAAAAAATATATATAATTTTGCTTACATTTTTTGTTGTTGATTACTTTGCAAGCCATTTTGTTTTCCAACCTTGCCCTTATTCCAACCAAGCATTCCCCTGCCCACTTTAATTAAGAAACCACATCTGAATGGTGTTAAAGTCAAACAAATTAACTATTCACTTTGTTTTGGCACGGACTAAAAACTTTAAAATCTAATTTTAATTAACAGTCAAATCAGATAACTTACCCGTGGTCACATGCCTTGCAGTCTTCTCCATCACAGTACTGGCCTTCCTCACAAACTGGAAGTCTGGTACATTCAGCAGACACAGTGGACGGTGTCATGATGAAACACAGGAACACAAAGAACACAATCTGATGAAAAAAACAAAAAATGCTTCTATTTTGTCAATGAAAAATGAATGTTGGATTACATTAACTTCAATTTGAATTGCATTACATTGTCCATCGGAGGGATAGTAAAGAACAAGTCTTAAGTTATAAAGATATTAGTATAGGAAACTGGAATTTTTTGCTTTTTTCATTATTCCTTTTTCCATTCCTAAAGATTGGACCATATGTACACATTTGATCCTTGGTTTACGAATGCCCCATGTAATGAGCAAATTGGTTAGTGAACAAGTTTTGTGAATACGCTTTGTGAACAATTTTTGTCTCAGTTAAAGAACCTTATTTCAGATTACAAGCACACGCATCCACCCATGCACACCACCCCACCAGCTAGAACACGTCTATAATAATTGATATTTTAATTTCTATAGTTGTCATAACAGAAGAGCACCAACAAAAAAAACCCTACATTTTTCTAATGCTCATAGAGATTAATTGAATTGACAATGATTTCAATGGGAACAAAAATTTCAGTTAGAACGTTTAGGTGTAAAAATGGAGTTACAGAATAGTTTAAGTTCATTATCCCAGGTTCCACTGTATATCACAAGTTTCGACTCCTTAACTGATCAGGCTCTCAGCCAAAGCACACATTGGTGTAGAACTTCGGCCCAGAAATGCCATCATGCTGAGACTGATTTAACACTAAAACTTCTGCATTTCGGCTCTTTGACCTTATCTCTGATGGATCGCTCCACTCCAATTCAATCTCTCTTGCATTGCATTGCGTTGGGCACAACTTGCAAGATTCTTTGATACATATTTTGGGTGCTTATTTTTACCCGCCCTTTATCCACTCCGCCTTCAGAGCATTTCCCTGGCCACAACTCAGGATAGCTTTTTCGGCAAAACAAAAACAGCAAATATAGAAGTTACCATCCGGGGTTTTAACACATATAGACAGTTTATTTATTAGCATATATAGAATTGTGTAAGGTGGTGTAAGCAAATTTTATCAGTATCACTCAATTGTAGAACAGTGTAAACATTTGGTCACCACTGCTGTAGTCATATTATATTTATGAAATTAAAAAAAAACTGGTAGGAATTAAACTATACACAAATTATTTCAAAAGTAACTCTTGAGCCACTAATTAATTAGTAAACAATAAAATATAAAGTAAAAAGAAAAAAAAAAAACTAAAATGCTTTTTCCTCAATGTTTGTTTGTTGGTTACACAAAGGGGAGATAGTTCAACTAAATTAACTTTTAACATTTGAGGGACCGACATGTTCAAACAGGGACATATAATTTAATAAAATAAACTGAAACTATTTACCAGTATATCAAATAAATTTAGCAATATTAACTTCATCTTGGCTATTTTTTCTCTTAAAAATGGAACTTTAAATTGAATTTGGAATGAGGAAAAAAAATACTTTAAAATCAGTGATGCTTACTGTGAGAAAACAAAAATGATGGAAAAAAATTGAAAATCTTCATAACTTGAATGGACAAAGAAAGTTTACAAAAATATTTTAAAGAAGATTACAAAGCTAAAATAAATTTCAAATAACCGCAAGACTATGTTATTATCACATAATGCCAAATAGCAGTACAACCGTGACCATGGGGGCTTGAGCATTTAAAAAAAAAAAAAAAAAAAGCTTTTTTTTATCATAAAGCATTCTCATTAGAGCTTAATTTCTTCTGATTATGTAATCTTTTAATTGTAAAGCATCAACAAAATATCACTAATTCTAAAAAAATTTTAAAAAAAAATACAAAGCTAAAAAAAATTTCAAAAAACCGCAAAACTATGTTATTATCACATAAAGCCAAAAAGCAGTACAACCCGGAACATGGGGGGTTGAGCATTTAAAAAAAAAAAAAAAAAAAGCTTTTTTTTATCATAAAGCATTCTCATTAGAGCTTAATTTCTTCTGATTATGTAATCTTTTAATTGTAAAGCATCAACAAAATATCACTAATTCTAACAATGAGATTTCTTGTCTTGTTGAGCATCAAATGATTTTTGAAAAGTACCATTTTTTAATGTTATTTAATACATTACTAATACAAGACCCTAAATTTATAGACAGCAGACAACTGTAACGACCTTTTACATAACTATTATTACGCTTATATTTTCTTTTCTTCAAAAGAACTAATTATTGTAACAAATAATTAATATTTAAAAAAAAAGTTATTTATGTCTTCTTATGATTGTTGAAAAATGTGTAACATTACACAAGGTCATTAATCTCTGTTGAATTACAACTCAATGGAGGATGGAGTTAGCCTGTTTCATAGACACAACGGTGCCCAATACGGAATTTCAAGCTACTATTTACTTAAAGATAAGGACAAAACTTGCTGTACATATAAATACCAGAGCCAGTACTTCGCCTCTTAAAAACAACACAACACTTACCTTGTTCATTTTTCCCCCCATTATATACATTTTTCGAATTGTCTTTCACATCAGCCGCTCTTGCAGGAGGCTAGCAAAACAATACAATATCATTATGGCTGGCACACACTAAGATGATCTGTTTAAATGAAAAGGTAAATGTTTTTTTAAACAACATTTGACAAATACAATAACTAATGTCTGAAAGGTCTCCCACAAACCTCTTTAAAGTGAAAGCTGCGATAACACTATAAAAAATAAGTACGGCACATCATAAATAATTTTTTAAAATCTGAAAACTCTTTAAACATGTATACTTCATTCCTGAGAAGATTCCATTTAATCAAGAGATTCCCTCTTCCTAACATGAGAAGCAATTTGAATAGCTTTAAATTGGCTTTACAATGCATATACATTTTATTCACTAACGGACAAGGTGCAGGGAGAGGGTAGTAGGTGGATGGAAGGGTTAGCAGTTAGATTTAGGGGTTAGGAGTCAGGTGGAAGAGAGAGATGGTTAGAGGAGATAGGAGGAGAATATAGAGTTTTGGCAATATATGATGAGGTTGGAAGAGGAAGAATGTTGCAAGCTGAAAGAAGGATGTGTGAGGTGAATGGAGACGTGGGGGAGATGGATTGAGGAGTTGGGAGGTGGATGGAGATGTGGGGGAGTTGGATTGAGGAGTTGGCAGGTGGATGGAGATGTGGGGGAGATGGATTGAGGAGTTGGGAGGTGGATGGAGATGTGGGGGAGATGGATTGAGGAGTTGGGAGGGGGATGAAGATGTGGGGGAGAGGAATTGGGGAGGTGGGAGGTGGATGGAGATGTGGGGGCGATGGGTTGAGGAGGTGGGAGGAGTGGGGGGGGTGGAGGGGGGAGTTGGGGGGTGGGTGGAGGTGTGGGGGAGATGGATTGAGGAGTTGGGGGGTGGATGGAGATGTGGGGGAGATGGATTGAGGAGTTGGGAGGTGGATGAAGATGTGGGGGAGATGAATTGAGGAGTTGGGAGGTGGATGGAGATGTGGGGGCGATGGATTGAGGAGTTGGGAGGTGGGTTCAGGAGTGTCTGTTGGCAGGGGCATGAACTCTTAAAATGATAAGTTAAGGAGGAGGGCGTAAAGAGTTGGTAGAGGATAAAGGTAATATTATATGATGTGCATAGATGACATTAGGAGGTAGTGCAGAGATTGAGTGGAGAGTGTGGGAGCTGTTTTGAAGTCCTGGATGGGGGGATGGGAAGTAGAGAATGGAGGTGGAAGGTGAATGAAGGGGATAGCTAAGACCTATTTTGATTGGAAAATGGATTGAGGTAGAGGGCGGTAAATGAGAGAGTTTTAATGGCTAACACCACCTTTATATTCAACATAACAGCTGACACAATGGTTTAATTTAGCCGCTTGAACAGTGACATGTCAGGATTCGCTTAACAATATCTAAAACTAAAATAATTTTTAAAAAATCCTGGCAAATTCACAGCTTTATGTCAACCAAAATATATAACAACAAAGACATGTAAAATAAACAAATCAAGGTAATATTTTTTGGAAATTTACATACAGTGAAAATCGTTTAACACGGAACTGAGTGGGCCGAAATATTTCTTCTTGTTAAAAGAATTTTGTGTTAAACGATGCATACAAAAAATATATATATATATAGTTAGGACCACATTCTTATTTAGTGTTAAGCGTTTTCTCATTAAACATATTTCACTGTATGTCAAATTTTGAAGTTTCCTATATTTCTTTCATCAGTACTGCTGTTAACATGTTGAATTTTAAGAAATGATATTTCTGGCTGTCAAGTCAGAAACAGTAGTAAAATATACATCAGAAATAAAACAAAAAAATATAGACTTTAGACTTTTCATTTATATTGAATTCAGTGAGCACATTATAATTTCTCTTAAGTCTATTGAAGTATTCACTAATAAATCAAAGGATGAAGCCAATAGCGGAAAGCTAATCAATATTTAGAAATAAGCAAAGTGGCACTCATGCAATGCATATTATTTTATTATATTCCTGACAAATAATAATAACGGTCATCGCCAATTTGGTCAAAGAAATTCACGCAGTGCAATGTTCCAGTAATACATGTGCACAGCGACTGTGACGTTGGTGACGTTGCTCACAGCAAAGATATGTCATAGAAAAATGAACATAGTCAATGATGTTTCTGGTAATACCCTTAAAAACTGGCATCTTCTAATTCATCCTTTAATGAAGCCAACCATAAAACTGACCAGTGAAAACATGAGGTAATAGTATCTAAAATAATGGTTCCACTTTAAAAAAACAGAGGTATCCTTTGATCCAAAGAATCAACTTTATTTTAAAAAATAAAAGCATAATAGTCATTTGTATGTTGAATCAATATGTACCCTAACATTTAATTGTGCAATGATCTACCATAAATGGTCGTTTAAACTTTATTTATTACAACCATTCTAAGAATAAGACAGGTAAAGAAAGACAGGGCGTGTTCAGGGTGAGTTAAAGGTCCCAAGCAGGAGTTGGCCAGCATAATTTTGAGAACCACTGATCTAGAGACCAACCAAAAGTGGTTTTCCGATTTTGGCTGTAACCGAAGTCAAAACCGAATGCTTAATGAGACTTTCAGCTGAAACTGAAGACGAAACCAAAAGCTTAACGAGACTCTTGGTCAAAGCCGACACCGAAATATTTAGATAATTTTAAATTCGTTCATGCATACATTCTGCATACATGGAAAATGATGGGGGAAATTATCAATATTTACATTCTTTTTATAAAGAAATGAGATCATCGTGAATATATTAATATATAAACATCTAATGAATACTTTTGCTTTTACCATTTTAATTTCTTTAAAATGTTTTTAAAAGTAGTATAGTAAGAGAAAATGGGGGGGGGGATTCATGCAAAATAGACCCTTGAGTGCCCTTTGTTTTTAGAATATAAAAATATCACCACAATGTTTCGTAGTTATCGTTATACTAATGCTTTGTGTTTTCATAAATAGCTGGCAAGATATCACTGCATTAATATTTAGCCTAGTACTAAAAATACTAATGCTTTGTGTTTTCATAAATAGATTGCAAGATATCGCTGTATTAATATTTAGCCTAGTACTAACAAATTAGTCTTTCTGTGCTGGTGATGTAATTATTTAGTTTGGCGACCAACCTTAACATTTTTTTTGTTAAACGGGCCTCTTAAAATTGTTGTTCTGACTGGTCTTGACGGAGAATCGCAAAACACATCTAAATTGGGCGCCAAAATCATAAAAGTAAACAGGTCTGCAGTAGGCATACTACATAATTATAATACAAACCAGTAATACATGCACACATGTGTTATTTTTTCAATAAAAATGTTTATGAGCATGATAATGATGAATTTCAAGAAATGAATGAATTAAAAAAGCCTAAGTTTCCTTAATTTTTTAATTTAAAAAAAATAATAATGGATATTACCATTCCCTTGGATTACTCAATATTATTCACCCTTGCCTATGACAACATTGATGAGCATGATAAGGATAAATCAAAATGAATATCACAAATGAATGAATTGAATAAACCTAGGGTTCCAAATTTTATTTTAGAAAAAAATGAAAACAAAAATAATGATATAAATATTACTCTTACATTAGTTTTTCTTCCACAAAACTGTTTACATTTGTCTAGGCCTAATAGAAATTAAATTTTTTGGAATAAAGGACAAGTGCAGCTGTTAGAGTTTTCGCAAAGTATTACTCATATAACATACGATGACAGCAAGACTTCGATCAATAATGAATATGGGATTGCCGGCCTAGAGACAGACAGTCTGACTTCTGGTAGATGACCGAAAATATCAGTCACTTTCGGCCAGATGGCAGAAAGTCTTGATCACTTTCTGCCAAATCCGAAATTAAACCCAAAGTTAACTGTTCTGTTTCGGCAAAACCGAAACTAGACAGAAAGTGACCGAATGATCACTTTCGGTGACGAAACTGAAGCCGAAATTCGGTTGATCTCTACACTGATCTAATCACTTGAAAAACTATTTGAAGAAAAATGCTGTTGTAAACCACACCCTCTTCATCACTAATACCTAAGATCAGCACGATAACGGCAAAATCTTTCCCTTAAAGTTAGGACTGAAAGATATACAAATTCTTTTAATCCTCAGTCAGTACCAATTTACCAGATATGATCCCCAGCAGTTAACAAATCTCACTTCTTATTACTTACGTCATTATTGTCACTAAGGAAGTTTATTATTTTTATTATATGATGGCTAATTTTTATGTTAGAGAAATATGTCTTATGCTTTAATTGGTCTAATTATAAAATGTTGTCTTGGTTAAAATGTGTATTTATTTATATGCTGAAAATGAATATGTATAATGTAATACAAAAACGTTTGCATTTATTTGAATCAATAAAAGGATCTTATCTTCTATTTTCTATACAATGTAGTTAACCCTTGGTAATTGCAATTGATCAGCTTTTATATTTAACAGTGTGTCATCATTATCATGACGTGCACATTACTTTAATCTTTTCAAAATATTGCACAAAACGAACTCTAGGCACTAAGCGCCTCAAAAAATTGCAGGTAACATTGTTGCAGTGTGTCGTATTATACAGTCTACTAAGCAAGTTATAGTACTGTAAAGTAGTTACTAATGATATATATGTACCTAAGAGGGTTCATTATTTATCAAATTTATTCCTTTATTCAGAGGCGTATCTTGTGCCACCTGGGGCAAAATGAAAGTATTATATATATATCCCTCCCCTCCAAGTTTGACAAAAATTAATAAAATCATCTATGGGATTGTAGCCCCTTACATACCAAAACACCTATTTTTTCACTTCATATGGTGTGTTATTATTTGGATGAGTGATAAGTGCATTAGGGAATGCTTTTTGGCTACGGAGTTTCGCTGCACTGACTTAAACCACATTTTCTCATTAAAAGTATATTTAAAGGTGAAGTTGAAGCTGAAATTAAGCCAGGAAATGGAGGGACAGCAGGTAGCTTACACTTCTTGATGATGTATTGTATATCTAGATACTCTTAGAGAGATAAATTAAGTTGTTACTTTGGCCACTGACAAAATGTATAGCCTATTTTTTTTTGTTTGACATTAAATTTTTTTTCTACTGCAACACACTGTCTTCCTTTTCCCCTTCCATTTCTTTCGCTGTGTTGGGTACTACATTTTTGACATGTCTGCTGCCATGGCAACAAAGATGGAGGCCATGTCACAAAAGTAGTACCTAACCTGGGGCAAAGGGTTGAGTGGGTTATTTAAATTTACCATCTGTTACTGAGAAGGTTTGAGAAATTTTGAAACTAAATTTATTATACTTATCTAATTTTAATAATTAAAAAGAATTTTTTTGAAAGGCTAAGTAGCCAGGTAGGGCCATACGCCCTCCTTGCCTGCCTACTTCTTCTATTATAAATTATAAAAATTAATAATGCTATTACTAATTATTACTATTAAGTAATGTTAAGTATGAAATTATAAATAATTAATAATACTATTAATAATGATTATAAAGTATAAAATAAAAAAAAAAACAAAAAAAAAATAATAAAATAAGTCTACTTAACTTTAAGCCTACAAAAACTATCATGTAAGTAATTTGTACTGTAATTGTATTGTGTGTGATATAAAATTATTAATAATCTAAACGTCACTAATCACTGCAGACTGCAGTGACTATGACTAATCACTAAACGTCTAATGACTAAGACTAAGCTATTAGTAGTATTAGTGTATTAGCCTAGATTACATTGTACAAATAAAGATTTAGCTTTACCCCCAATAACTGGTACCGTAGCCGAAATAACATAACAACAAGTTAGTGAAATTAATAAAAACTTACCAGTAGGCATTACAATTCCTGGTTACCAAAATTATAAGCTTTTATCTGATTACGGAAACTGACATCACGTAACGGAGTAACTGCCCTTGCCTTCTATAAATAGAGTTTACCCCCCCACCCCCCCCCCCCCCCGTAAAGTTAAGTCTTGGTTTATCGTTAGGGCTGCGCGGCTATTCGGACCCGGTCCGAGAATTTAGAGTTTGGGTTTATTAAAAAATATTTTAAAATTATTGTATGGTTTGTAAGACGAAATTTGGTATCAAATGAAAGATAATTGAATGTTTGTAAACTTACTTCTTAAGTTTAAGGGGGGAGGTACACCCTGAAAAATGGAAAAAAAAATATTTTTTCGATTTAACTGTAACCATTGATATCAAATTAAAGTGTATTCAATTCTGCTCAATTATATGTAATTATTTTAAATTTAAGTTAAATAGTTCTTGGGATATGAGTTTTTTGTTAGAAGGGGGTGTATCAGAATTTAAAAAAAAAAATCCTTATACTTTTTCTATCTCAATTGTATTAAAACAAGGATGACCTCCCTAATAATTGTTTAATACAATGCTCAGTCCTTTAAATATTGCGGCTTCCATGGAAATAAACAAAACATTTTTGTTAATATTGAAATTGTCTTAGTATTTTTTATCATCTGTTTATACAATGCCTAGTGATAACAAATATTCAACAAAAAAAAAAGAGCGTTTCATGAAAATAGATATACTAAGCCAAATATTGTACCCAAATGAGGATATTTTAAATGAAATAAATTAATCAAAACAATCTGATTCCATTGAATTTGAATCATTGAATAAATATGACTTATAACTCCTTGACTTTGACTAAAATTAAAATTTAGTGGTCTAAATCCCAACCTTTAACTTCTCAGACCCGGGTCCGAATAGCCACTTCGTATTGGGTAATGTTCATGTGCGTACCAATAATAACTGGAAGTAAGGGTTGCAATCACTTTTTCTTTCAGGCATATCTTGGGGCGGGGGAAGAAGTCATCACATGATCGCAACAGGCTTACAAAAGTATAGGCTAGATCAGTGGTTCTTAACATTGTTGGAGGCACCCAATCCCACCAGTTTCATATGCGAATTCACCGAACCCTTCTTAATAGGAAAAATAAAATATGTTTTTTTTTCCTGATTTTTTTGGACCTCCGTCGAACCCCTGAGACTGACTCACCGAACCCCTGGGGTTCGATCGAACCGAGGTTAAGAACCACTGGGCTAGATATTAGCATTATCATTTGAAAAGTTCGATATCGTGTATGTTGAGCTCCCTTTCACTATACAAACTATGTATTTTTCCGAAACTGTCCCCCCCTTCATAAAAAGAAAAAGTGACACCTTTGAAAGACCACCCCATCCTCTTCCCTTTCTACCACACTGACAGAGACGTAGCTAGATTGTTCGGCGCCAGGGTACAACCCTGAAACCAATTATTTTCATCCAATAAATAACCATTTTTGGCCCCCCCCTGGTTTTGCGCCCAGGGACATCTGTTCCCCTTAAAATCCGAAATGCGCCCCCCCCCCCAACCCGGAGGCAGTTGTCTGAAAGAAGCTCTGTCTGCATCACAACAAAAGTACCCCCAGTTGATCTACGATCTGCCACCTAATAAATGTTGAAACGGCAAGTACAATTTCAGACAGACAGCTTAACCATACCAGCTGGAGGAGGGATTCTT